GCTCTTCATGAATAACAACTATCTAGAGGAATGCCCTTACTTATCCCCATTCCTTTGTTTTTCCCATTGAACTTTTAGGATGACAGTTTCAAAAAATATCTAAGCTTTCATAAGGGAAACACAAATTGAATTTGATTTCCTGGTAAGAAGCTGATGTAAATCATTTTCTGTTTACAATTTTTATTGTTTCTCTTCATCTAAGCACATGGATTTGCTCACTGGATTAGATAACCACTGTTAAATTATTTGGACAGGATTGTTTTGCAATCATTTCTCTTATCCTGTCATATTTTTATGGTATGCAAAATATATTATTTTTGAACACATCTTTTTCCTCTCACTGATATAGCCTGTTCAGATTTAAGTGAAACAGTTCCAACATATCCATTAAGGTAAACTTTCAAGTGAAGCTTGTGTTAATGTGCAATTTTATGCTCCAATACTTGATTTGGTTAATTTTCAACTGAGGGGCTCTATGTTTGTGAACATAGCATTTCATTTGCCTTTTGGCATCTCATTGATCAGGTAGATCTGTATCCTTCAGTACTTTGCTTGCAGCTGTATTTATACTCATCACTCAAACTGATTTAGTGTATCATCAGCAATTTGGATTACTTTACAGTAGATCCCTCTGTCTGAGTGATAAATTATCATCTCTTGTGCATGAAGATGTATGGGGTACATTTTGGGGATGACCTCCTGAACAGATGCTTCATGTCATGGTGCTGAGTGATCAGAGTTGATACTAATAAGCTTCCCATTCACAAGGCTCTGGGGAGTCTTGGTTCACAAGTTATTGAAAGAGCTAATCTGGGATGTCAGCACTTACCTCTGCTGGAAAATCTATTAATTGTTTTTACATTAACCATGGCTATTTCTATGTTGACAAATGAAAGTTTATTATTTGTAAACAGACCCAAGGTTAGATTTATTGGCTCAGGTAATCCTAAACTGAAAATGGGAGTGTCTTTGAATACTTTTCTTCTGTCTGTGCTTCCTCCTTCACTCTTTTTGCTTTGCATTTTCTTTTTTTCCTCTGTGCTCAAATCATATCCTCATGTTGTAATTAGAACAATGTTACAATATCAGTTTGCTCTTTGTTATCTACAAAAGCTTGCATGCTCCTGATATTTGTTATATACATGTGCGCTGTTTAAGCTCTTTTTGAGAACAATGCAAATGTTACTTTCAAATATACATACATATACATCAGATAGTAGGCATCTGTGTCAGTTTACATATTTTATTTTTCTTATAAAATATTTGAATATAAATTCAACAATACTTGTTAACTTTTATAGTGCTTTGTATGTCAACATGCATTTTAAATTTCAAATAAAATATATTCCTCAGAAGGCAGGAACCCTAGATAATCTTTGAGAAAAGCTTTGTTCCTATTATTCATATAACCGATGGTTCAGTTGTCAGAAAGTATAGAAATAATACAGTATTGAATAATCACATCTCTCCTTGCATTGGGATTCTTGATTTTTTTTTTTTTGGTAATTCATTGTATACCTTTTGAATTTAGTTTAATGCTTTAATAGTTCAGCCTTCTATACTCTTTAACTAAACTATTTTAATCATTTTTGTATATAAATTACATATTTAAAATTAGTTTGTGATTCTGATAATAAATTAGTTTCAATTTTTTGATTGAATTGAAAGTGGAACTTGCAAAATTAATCGAGTTTAAACTCATGTTGTTGGATTATGTGTACCACTCATAAATAATGTATTTTAAGACATAAAAGTGATTATATTTTTGCAAAGTCTACATATCTACTGTTATCTATAATCCATTACACAAAATAATAGCACACATTTTGTGGGAAGCTTGAGGCAATAGGGTGGGTAGGAAGAAATAATTCTCACTTCTGTTATTAATTAGTGCTGACTGAGTATCATACAAGCTATGAAATCTCTCTTGGCCTTTAACCTCATAGTTATGCAATGTAAACTAAATTCCGCAAGGTTTTTTCCCATTGTTCATATTTTTTAAATCTAGGATTTATTTAATGAAGTTCACCAGTTAGAAAATTTGTTTTTTATGTATTTAATTTGGGATGGCTGATTTAATTTGATAGGGGTAAATCATAAACTAGATGTTCAAGAGTAAGATCCTCCTGGTAGCCATCTGAATGTTAAGACTGGTGCCCATCGGTGCATGCTGTAAGGCTGGCCAGACCAGAGGAGCAGTTTTGCAGCTTTTGTTAGTCATGTTTTATTTTGCCAGTAAGAAGAAACAGCTTATATTTCCTTGGAGTTTTAGGAAATTTTTATTTTCCTGTTTTGATACACATACTCATTTTTGTGATTAGCTACAATTGTCTTAGATGTTGTTTCCTAAGGATTTTTTGAAATTTCTTGATAATTTTCAGTGTATATATTGTGTGTTCTAAAGTCACAATTTCCCTTTACATTCCTTAAGTGTTGAATTGACTCTGATTACAGGTTTAATGGCATTAAGGTGTCCTAAAATTTGGTTTGGAGGAGAATCCTTAATGACTGTCATTGTAGGTATTTATACATATACAAAGGAGGGACTTAGTTTTCTATCAATAAGGAGAGCTGTTTATGATACTAAGGAGAGCTCAGTGGGATTTAGACATTCAAGATCTGTGTTCCAATCTTCCTTACCCTTTGTTTTTCTAACCAAAGCCCTATTTTTCCACATAAATGAATGACCTAATGAAACAAGGAATTTGACTTGAGTTATAATTTTGCCACTCAGAACTTCAGACTTAAAACTGTAGTCTGGTTTTCACATAAACGTTTTCCGAGACTGTAAGATACAACTATCTTCAAGCATAGTCAGAAGAACACAGGTTTGTGTCCTGTATTTTCAGCTGAGAATTTAGAGCACTCTCATTTCAGTGGTGCTGGGCATCACACCAGGGCCTTGCTCGTGCTGCTAACCTTCATCAGCAGTCCTACCATACTGTTCTACTGAAATAGTTATTTGTTCTCACTGGACATCACACCTCGAGCCTTGCTCATGCTGCTAATCCTCATCAGCAGTTAACCATACTGTTCTATTAAAATGCTTATTTATTCTCCCATACCCTACTCTTCAATTTAGAGAACTGTTAATAATTTAAGAAACTGCTTTGTCTCTGGAAACCATGAGTTGCTATGGTCATATTACTTTATCAACATTACCTCCTTTAGAGCTAGTCAAGACAGCAAACACTTGCAGGTAATCATCTTTAAAGGTGTGGAGCCACCTCTCATAATGCTAGTGCTTCGTAAACAGTAAATAGTGCCTCTGCTTAATGCTTGAGTTGAAGATGAATCTTGGGGTGAATCAAACTGAAACTTTTTGTTGTTGGATTATGTGTCCTTGTCATAAAACAATATATATTAAAGATGTATAAATGAATGTTTTTGAAAATTCTACATATCTACTGTT